TTTAGAAGTACACAAGTAGTAGTAGTAGTAGTAGTAGTAGTAGTAGAAGTAGTAGTAGTAGTAGTAGTAGTAGTAGTAGTAGTAGTAGTAGTAGTAGTAGTAGACGTAGTAGTAGTAGTAGTAGTAGTAGTAGTAGTAGTAATAGTAGAAGTAGTAGTAGAAGTAGTAGTAGTAGTAGTAGTAGTAGTAGTAGAAGTAGTAGTAGAAGTAGTAGTAGTAGTAGTAGCAGTAGTAGTAGTAGTAGTAGTAGTAGTAGAAATAGTAGTAGTAGTAGTAGTAGTAGTAGTAGTAGTAGTAGTAGTAGTAGTAGTAGTAGTAGTAGTAGTAGTAGTAGTAGTAGTAGTAGTAGTAGAAGTAGAAGTAGTAGTAGTAGTAGTAGTAGTAGTAGTAGTAGTAGTAGTAGTAGTAGTAGTAGTAGAAGTAGTAGTAGTAGTAGTAGTAGTAGTAGTAGAAGTAGTAGTAGTTGCAGTTGTAGTTGTAATCGTAGTAGTAATAAAAGTTAAATAGTAGCAGCAACAGTATGGTATGGTGTCACAAGGCATTCTCTCTAAGTGGGCAAACCATTTCACTTGCTGTCTTTGTATGTTTTGCAAAATTGGTTTTGTGTAGACTTGTTCTCTTATGATCTCGTTCCTGATCTTATCTCTTATGGTCACTCCTACAGCCCTTCTCAGACATCCCATTTCCGTGGTTACTAATTTTCTTTTATGGTGTGTTGTACTAGCTTTAGAAGTACACAAGTAGTAGTAGTAGTAGTAGTAGTAGTAGTAGTAGTAGTAGTAGTAGTAGTAGTAGTAGTAGTAGTAGTAGTAGTAGTAGTAGTAGTAGTAGTAGTAGTAGTAGTAGTAGTAGTAGTAGTAGTAGTAGTAGTAGTAGTAGTAGTAGTAGTAGTAGTAGTAGTAGTAGTAGTAGTAGTAGTAGTAGTAGTAGTAGTAGTAGTAGTAGTAGTAGTAGTAGTAGTAGTAGTAGTAGTAGTAGTAGTAGTAGTAGTAGTAGTAGTAGTAGTAGTAGTAGTAGTAGTAGTAGTAGTAGTAGTAGTAGAAGTAGTAGTAGTAGTAGTAGTAGTAGTAGTAGTAGTAGTAGTAGTAGTAGTAGTAGTAGTAGTAGTAGTAGTAGTAGTAGAAGTAGTAGTAGTAGTAGAAGTAGTAGAAGTAGTAGTAGTAGTAGTAGTAGAAGTAGTAGAAGTAGTAGTAGTAGTAGTAGTAGTAGTAGTAGTAGTAGTAGTAGTAGTAGTAGTAGTAGTAGTAGTAGTAGTAGTAGTAGTAGTAGTAGTAGTAGTAGTAGTAGTAGTAGAAGTAGTAGTTGTAGTTGTAATCGTAGTAGTAATAAAAGTTAAATAGTAGCAGCAACAGGAGTAGAAGTAATAGTAGTAGTACGAGCAGTAGCAGTACGAGCAGTAGTAGTACGAGCAGTAGCAGTACGAGCAGTAGCAGTACGAGCAGTAGCAGTACGAGCAGTAGTAGTACGAGCAGTAGCAGGACGAGCAGTAGCAGTACGAGCAGTAGCAGTACGAGCAGTATTAGTACGAGCAGTAGTAGTACGAGCAGTAGCAGGACGAGCAGTAGTAGTACGAGCAGTAGCAGGACGAGCAGTAGCAGGACGAGCAGTAGTAGTACGAGCAGTAGCAGGACGAGCAGTAGTAGTACGAGCAGTAGCAGGACGAGCAGTAGCAGGACGAGCAGTAGCAGGACGAGCAGTAGCAGGACGAGCAGTAGCAGGACGAGCAGTAGCAGGACGAGCAGTAGTAGTACGAGCAGTAGCAGGACGAGCAGTAGCAGGACGAGCAGTAGCAGGACGAGCAGTAGTAGTACGAGCAGTAGCAGGACGAGCAGTAGTAGTACGAGCAGTAGCAGGACGAGCAGTAGTAGTACGAGCAGTAGCAGGACGAGCAGTAGCAGGACGAGCAGTAGTAGTACGAGCAGTAGCAGGACGAGCAGTAGCAGTACGAGCAGTAGCAGGACGAGCAGTAGTAGTACGAGCAGTAGCAGGACGAGTAGTAGCAGTACGAGCAGTAGCAGCACGAGCAGTAGCAGCACGAGCAGTAGCAGTACGAGCAGTAGCAGTACGAGCAGTAGCAGTACGAGCAGTAGCAGTACGAGCAGTAGCAGGACGAGCAGTAGTAGTACGAGCAGTAGCAGGACGAGCAGTAGCAGGACGAGCAGTAGTATTACGAGCAGTAGCAGGACGAGCAGTAGTAGTACGAGCAGTAGCAGGACGAGCAGTAGTAGTATGAGCAGTAGCAGGACGAGCAGTAGCAGGACGAGCAGTAGCAGGACGAGCAGTAGTAGTACGAGCAGTAGCAGGACGAGCAGTAGTAGTGCGAGCAGTAGCAGGACGAGCAGTAGCAGTACGAGCAGTAGCAGGACGAGCAGTAGTAGTACGAGCAGTAGCAGGACGAGTAGTAGCAGTACGAGCAGTAGCAGCACGAGCAGTAGCAGCACGAGCAGTAGCAGTACGAGCAGTAGCAGTACGAGCAGTAGCAGTACGAGCAGTAGCAGTACGAGCAGTAGCAGGACGAGCAGTAGTAGTACGAGCAGTAGCAGGACGAGCAGTAGCAGGACGAGCAGTAGTATTACGAGCAGTAGCAGGACGAGCAGTAGTAGTACGAGCAGTAGCAGGACGAGCAGTAGTAGTATGAGCAGTAGCAGGACGAGCAGTAGCAGGACGAGCAGTAGCAGGACGAGCAGTAGTAGTACGAGCAGTAGCAGGACGAGCAGTAGTAGTGCGAGCAGTAGCAGGACGAGCAGTAGTAGTACGAGCAGTAGCAGGACGAGCAGTAGTAGTACGAGCAGTAGCAGTACGAGCAGTAGCAGGACGAGCAGTAGTAGTACGAGCAGTAGCAGGACGAGCAGTAGCAGGACGAGCAGTAGCAGGACGAGCAGTAGCAGGACGAGCAGTAGCAGGACGAGCAGTAGCAGGACGAGCAGTAGTAGTACGAGCAGTAGCAGGACGAACAGTAGTAGTACGAGCAGTAGCAGGACGAGCAGTAGTAGTACGAGCAGTAGCAGGACGAGCAGTAGCAGGACGAGCAGTAGCAGGACGAGCAGTAGCAGGACGAGCAGTAGCAGGACGAGCAGTAGCAGGACGAGCAGTAGCAGGACGAGCAGTAGCAGTACGAGCAGCAATAGTATGATGGTTGTTGTCACATATCTCTCCTGTCACGTGCCTAATGTAAGGATTTCTCCTTCAGAACCAACAGCACTCAGCGATAATTATGTTGAGTCGTTTGGCTCGTATTGGTCTAAGGGATTCCCCGTGGCCAATATACGCTCAACTTATCTCTGGAGTAGGGCAACTCAAGTATTGGCACTACAAAATATGTCAGTATATGAATACAATATTTCTAGGCACACTTGGCTGGATACCCCCACTACTTACTAAAGAAAGCCCCCAGGTTATGATAGTTCATTATCATAACCAATGTTAACACATATAATGAAGATACATACACACACAACTGCTAAACACTTAAAAAGGTGAAATAGAGAAACCTAAGTCAGCCATGAAAATGAATGCATGTAATCAGTATACTTTATACATTTATAAAATAGAGAAGCAGATGCCAGATTTCTATAGCTGGGTTCCAGGATACAATGTCCAGATCACCAAAATTACACAGACAGAAGGTCCTGGAGATGACACATTGTCATCATTGGGAAACATGGGAGCTGTGAGGAATATTGCAAGTAAGGCATCAAACTGAACTTATCCTCTTTCCGTCTATGATGCTTCCCTCAGCTCCTGATGATTCGACTGTCTTTAGTGACTCTGCCTTAACTGGATCAACTGGTGGAGGAGTACCTCACCATAAAGGACACCGCAACTGGATAATTACACAGCAAATGGCTCCCACTAGTCATTAGCAGCACAGTCCATGAGCTACACACACATGTTCTGGCACTGTAGGAAGTTTGGGGTATATGGCACCTCAAACTGACATCAATCTCCACACTTGGTAGTTGGGTGATAAGTGGTAGGTAATGGGTTCATTGATTGATGGGTTATGGTTGGTGGGTTATGGTTTATTTTTGGTGGGTGTTGGTTGGACTGTGAAACTTCTGCCAGCTCCTCACAAAGGATACATCCCAAGCATATGAAAAGTCTGAGACACTCCAGATTGCCTTATGAAATTGAAATTATACAGGCATCGATTGACACGTCTGGACGCTAGGAAGCTGGCAAAGAGAATGGCGTCACTTAGACGCTTCAGGCGTTGGTAAAAAAAGAAGTCCCTAGTATACATGGGCAAGGAGTGCATCTGTTTCTAAGAAACCTCAAATAACTCCTCTAATATATATCAAAGATATATACATTTAAAAGTGGAGTTTAGTTAAAGCAACCAGAAAAGGTAGACATAATAATGTTGTCCAATAAAGACCTATATATATAGATATAAGGGACTATATCTTTCCGGACGAGTCCAAGTTTGAATTTTGCCGATTTACAGGTAAGTTAGGTTACCAGTCTTACAGACTGATGCGTAATGGCTTATCATTTCACGACAGTTGTGGTGGTGTTAGTGGTAGTAGTAGAAATAGCAACAGCAGTGACAGCAGTAGTTGCTGTTATTGTTGTTGTTGTTGTAGCGGGAACAGCAACATCAGTAGTTAAACTAGTGGTGGTTGCTATTGATGTTGCTATTGTGGCAACAAAAGCAGCAACAGTAGCCGCAGCAGAAGTTGTAGTATTAGTAATCAATCTCACTTTCAGCCCAGCAAGACATCACACCGAAACAAAGATATTCCGGGCCGCAGCGAGAGAAACTAACCCTGCTTGGTCAGTGTGTAATCATTTTGACATTAACTGAATCAATACCCCAGACGGCACCAAGCCGCCGAGTTATTCTGCACAAGGATACTCACCTTTCATTAATCCTCGTGATACAAGAGAAAGATTGATCCGCCAACGCACGTGTCCGCCGGACACTGCAGATGTCCAGTCCCGGCTCAGGGCGTGGAGAGATTTCTGAAGTACTGGTCAGTCGCTGGTCAGATAATTACTGTTATTAATTGTTCGGAACATTGCCCTTTGGTGAGCATCGGCTCACATGACTGTTGGCAAGTGTTCTGTCGCTCAGGCCGATGAGCACATTTCCAGGGCGAGTAGTTCTTCAGTTGGTCGTGGAGAGGATTACTAGTGAGTGGACATTTGATGAGGGCTTAAGGGTAGGGATTATGTCACATGCTGAAGGGTAGGTCAGTGCGGGTCATGAGAATTACTCATGCTTAGTAATATGTCGATGGAAGCGTGTATGCGTGTGTGTGTGTAGGCGTGTGATCTTTCAGGGTACAAAGATACTGAGAAAACAATGGAGTGGGATCTTTACCCACAGTAGGAATAACTCAGCATGCGTTTAATGTTTCACCCCTTAGTACTTTGTTTCACATGCAGCGGTCATGACATGAATGAATTATTGAATAAATGAATGAATGAATGAATTATTGAATGAATGAATGAATGAATGAATGAATGAATGAATGTGCCGTGTGGGTTCCTGAGTTCCATTGTGGTGAAAAGCAAGAAAAGTTCCACTACTTTAGCAGCGATGTTAATGGATTCCAGTAATTGGGGGACAACCCTAGAAGTACGAGTGCATCTGCCTGAGTGTAAAAAAACCAGTAACCTGCATACAAATAAGCCAGATTTTGAAAACGGATGTGCATGCAAAACTCAGGTTCTGGAACAAAAATAAAGTCTGGAGGTGGAAGAATATCAAGACCCATCCGCCGGAGTTTACAGCCGGTGAATGTGAAGAAGTAGTACTGTATTTCGCGTGCACCTGTCTTGACACGAATAAATGATTTTTTTTTTAAAATGAATAAGTAAATCAGGAACTGACATCACTACGCTCAAGACTGCCTCACATGCTTTGTTCTCCTCTTAAGTCGCCAACGAAGCGTTCCCTTGCCAACAGTACTAGTTGGAACCTGTTGGGGAAAACAAGAATAGACCAACTGCTTTCTCAACAAGCATGCCGTAGGAGTGGACTAAATAGGGACTTCCTTTAAAGTCAGAAGGTATCTGACTGAGAAGCAAGGAACCAACAGAGATGAACAAACAGAGATGGAGAAACAACCAGAACTTTTCGCTAGCGTTTTTAATCAGTGAACGCGAAAAAGAACTTCCTTCACATCGACTCTCATCGTCCTTTCTCACTATTTCCCCACGCACTTCCCCTCCGTTTGACGCAGAAGCCGACGCAATCAAGTTCTCGCGATGTCCTACCTCTGAACAGCGCTCCATTCTGTACCTATCAGTCGTTTTGGCAGCCCGCTCAAGGCAACATGCCACGGGTCAGAACGTGCCTGATTCCTAGATGCGTCAGAGCATTAAGTGAGCGTCTTGGGAGGTCAGGATTTCATCAAAACATAACACTGTTAAGTGCTACGCGTTTTATGCATCATTTGTTTGCGATGGTTAACCCTTACTAAACGTGGGCATTTATTCAGATTAAAACCTATTAACGTTTGCTAGGTGGTATACGATTTTTCTTCTCATCCTTTAGCAGAGCAAAGCTCCAACCATCTCATATCAAACAACATGTAAACTAGTGCCTTATCGTCTGGATCACCCATTAAAAGTTTCCTAGGGTAACAGGCAGCCAGGTTCGAGCCAACCCGCCTTTACTGCCTTTTACGACATGATTTATTAGTTACACTGTTAGTATTGTTTCTTAACGTATAAACCTCGGTTAAACACCGGCGAATTGCAAAATCTCCCAGCCTCTGTCCCAATATATTCTAACGGTTAAGTGAGTGACTTTCTACCCCACTAGGACATCACACAAGCGATAAACACCCGATGACACAACGTGCGTCCATGTGGATGAGGATCACCGTGGAGAGGTCCCAGAAACCGCGTTCAGACATTTGGCCATTTTTATGGCCTGCCTATGTTGCGGCCCCTGGCAAAAGCCAGAGTGGGGCTTCAAATAACTAAAAATTACGTCCTGAAAAGGACGTAATGGGTTTAAATATAGTACAACGTTAAACTGCTTCTGGTGAGATGATCATTTAGAATTATAATCCTTGAGATGAATTGGTTACTCGGGCTAAGTGCGAACCAATTGCGATGCAACTGGTGAGTTCGATTTTATAGTGGAGAACCAGTGGCTACCGTGAGAACTGCGATACAGAAACTCAAGTCGTTCTTGTTTTAGTCGTAATCTCAACTAGACGAGCCTTGCTAATTGTAAACCAGGAGACAGGCATTGATTGTACGTAACAAGGATGTCAGTTGGGAAGATGGAAATGCGGGTACGTGTGAGAAGGTGTACAGGTTTCATACAGGTCAAATAAGCTCCCTGTGTTTAAGTTTAGTAAATAAGTAGCAAGCAATCTACATTGTTCTTAACAAATGGACACTACAAAAAACGAATGAGACAGATGAATACCTTTATTAGATTGTATTAGGTTGATTGAGCATTACCAGAAAAAAATTTCCCACAAACAAGAAATAAACGATAATAGAAAGAGTCAGATTCCGTGTTGTGATAAGTCTGAGGTGTACTTTTGTATTGGGAATGAATACAAAGCACAGGACGTTTAGGAAGGGCTTTAATGAACATGCTATCTGAGAAGTGCGTGAGTGGGGGGCAAAGACCAAGCGCGCCTGCTGCCTTGTTAGGACAAGTAACAGGACACTCACAACTGCTAGGACAAGTGGCAGGACACTCACAACTGCTAGGACAAGTGACTGGACACTCACAACTGCTAGGACAAGTGGCTGGAAACTCACAACTGTTAGGACAAGTGGCAAGACACTCACAACTGCTAGGACAAGTGGCAGGACACTTACAGTTGCTAGGACAATGGGCTGGACCCTCACAACTGTTAAAACAAGTGGTGGGACACTCACAATTGCTAGGACAAGTGGCAGGACACTTACATCTGCTAGGACCAGTGGCAGGACACTCACAGCTGCTAAAACAAGTGGCAGGACACTCAACACTGCTAGGACAAGTGGCAGGACATTTACATCTGCCAAGACAAGTGGCAGGACATTCATAACTGCTATGACAAGTGGCAGGACACTCACAACTGCTAGGACAAGTGGCAGGACACTTATATCTCCTAGGACAAGTGGCAGGACACGCACAACTGACGAGAGATATGCTCTGAAAACTATTACTGGACGACTGCTTTTTGTTATTCTTCTCCTTCTTGCATTCACTAACAGTAGAAACAGTTGGAAAAATAATATTCTTTTTGCTTCCCCCCCCCCTCTCTTCCCTCCCCCTTCCTCCTTCCCCCCCCCCTCTGTGGATCCTAGGGGCTATAATGTTGAAGAAAAACTAGACCTTCAGCATGTCGCAAAGGGCTACTAATAAGTTTTGCTTAAATCAGGTGTGTTGGCCTAAATGGTACATATATCGCTGACATAACACAACATAGCAAGCATCTTTTTTAAAGTAGAACACAACAGCATAGGACGAAGAAGAAGAAGAAGAAGAAGAAGAAGAAGAAGAAGAAGAAGAAGAAGAAGAAGAAGAAGAAGAAGAAGAAGAAGAAGAAGAAGAGAAGAAGAAGAAGAAGAAGAAGAAGAAGAAGAAGAAGAAGAAGAAGAAGAAGAAGAAGAAGAGAAGAAGAAGAAGAAGAAGAAGAAGAAGAAGAAGAAGAAGAAGAAGAAGAAGAAGAAGAAGAAGAAGAAGAAGAAGAAGAAGAAGAAGAAGAAGAGAAGAAGAAGAAGAAGAAGAAGAAGAAGAAGAAGAAGAAGAAGAAGAAGAAGAAGAAGAAGAAGAAGAAGAAGAAGAAGAAGAAGAAGAAGAAGAAGAAGAAGAAGAAGAAGAAGAAGAAGAAGAAGAAGAAGAAGAAGAAGAAGAAGAAGAAGAAGAAGAAGAAGAAGAAGAAGAAGAAGAAGAAGAAGAAGAAGAGAAGAAGAAGAAGAAGAAGAAGAAGAAGAAGAAGAAGAAGAAGAAGAAGAAGAAGAAGAAGAAGAAGAAGAAGAAGAAGAAGAAGAAAGAAGAAGAAGAAAGAAGAAGAAGAAGAAGAAGAAGAAGAAGAAGAAGAAGAAGAAGAAGAAGAAGAAGAAGAAGAAGAAGAAGAAGAAGAAGAAGAAGAAGAAGAAGAAGAAGAAGAAGAAGAAGAAAAAGACTTATTTTATCAGAAGAAGACTTATTTTATAACGCTGGGTGATCACCAGTAAATGATCCTCAACTGTTCTACTATAATACTCAACTGCAGACACCTTCTAAAACATTTCGTTTCGTAATATAGCCATTCATATCCATATTTTCTATTAAGACATACTTTGGGTTTCATGCTGGCTTCGACTGTTTAAAAGCTTTGTGTCTTGTTCGTTGAGTTTTCTAGATGGCAGCTTATAATGTATTTAATACTCTCTTGATAAAGACACTGGCATGAACGTTTAGCTGTATTTGTGTGGCCTTTTTCTTAACTTTCTGTGGCGCTTTTGACTTAGTTTGTGCTGAATTTAGTGTGCCCATTGTAAGCTAGCTTGATTTGTAATCTCGAAACCACGTGATCACCCTGTTATTTTCTCTTCTCCGCAAAATAGCATAAAATAACTACTTAAATTTTGAACTAAATAAAACCGTTTCAATGATATGATGGCATTTTTATAAATAAAGAAAAATAACGCCAGAAAATCACACGTTAAAAAAAAAACGAACATGCACAGAAGATTACTTTTAAATTCAGGCAGCTTGGGACAAAAACACGGGTTGATCGCAGAAAGAGTGAACCTGTGTACAAGTTTGGCTTTCAGAAAACGAACTCGATTCTGTTCTCACGAAATTAAAGGCTCCGAGAGATAACACGGGAGTTAGTCCTCCGTGTAATGAAGTTAATGTGCCTCCCCCCCCCCCCCCCCCCAGCCTCGAGCCAGCAGTCTAGGCCCACGTGACGAGCATTTTTCAGTAGTGTGATTGGCATTTCTAGCACTGGCGCAAGAGAAGAACTCGTTTGTTGTGCTATTAAGAAATTGGCATAGTATAAACAGGGGGAGACAATAACAAGTGAGTAGGGCAGGGTGAGGAAGACAGCTGGATAATGGAAAGTTCCCTTAACAGTTCTCTTGTTTGAATTTAGCAGAAACTTGCAACAGAAGATATAAAGAGGATTTCAATAAACGAAATATTTTTTTTTTAATGTTCAGTACATATGCAGGTTGGCGTCTGTTACTTAGAAGTTACGAACG